ACACTAGCATCGGTGGTAACAAATATGGCTTTGTGATAGTGGATAATTATACTAGATACACATGAGTATTCTTTCTAGTGGTTAAAAGTGATGTGTTTGCAACATTCAAATCATTTGTCAAAGGCATTCACAATGAGTTTGAAACAACCATTAAGAGAGTTAGAAGTGACAATGGTAGTGAGTTCAAGAATACTAGAATTGATGAGTTGTGTGATGAATTTGGAATTAGACATCAATTCTCGGCCAAGTATACTCCACAATCAAATGGCCTTGTTGAGAGGAAGAATACAACACTCATTGACATGGCAAGGTCTATCCTTAGTGAGTATAATGTGAGTCAATATTTTTGGGCCGAAGCTATCAACATGGCTTGCTATTGTAGCAACCGCCTCTATTGTCACCTATTGAAAGAGAAGACACCATATGAGCTCTTGAATGGTAGAAAGCCCAACATTGCATATTTTAGGGTCTTTGGTTGTAAATGCTATATTTTGAAGAAAGACACTAGATTAGGCAAGTTTAACAAGAAATGTGATGAATGATTCCTACTTGGTTATTCCACTACAAGCAAAGCATATAGAGTTTGGAATTTGGATAGTGGTACTCTTGAGGAATTTTATGATGTTAAATTTAATGAAACCAAGGGTTCACAAGTAGAGAATGAGAACTTGAAAGATGTTAGAGGCATTCAACTTTCAAATGCCATAAAGAACATGGATGTTGATGAATTGAGGCCTAGGCAAGTAAATGATGATGAAGATGATCAAGTGCAAGTGCTCTCTAACTCAAATGTGCAAGATGATACAAATCAAGCAAGTACAAGTGGCTCTCATGACAATGAACAAGATCAATTGGCTAGTAAATCATCTCAACCCAATGATCAATCGAGTACAAGCAATCAACTACCAATCCTCCAACCAACCAATATTGCAAGGGATCATCCATTGGACACTATCATTTGTGGTATTTTAAGATGTGTGCAAACTAGATCAAGACTGGCTTAATTTTGTGAGCATTTCTCATTTGTGTCATCCATTGAACCAAAGAAGATAGATGAAGCATTAAAGGATGTTGATTGGGTAAATGCTATGCATGAAGAATTGAATAACTTCACAAGAAATCAAGTATAAGAATTAGTAGAGAGACCAAAGGGACACAATGTGATTGGAACCAAATGGGTCTTTAGAAACAAGCAAGATCAAGATGGGATAGTAGTAAGGAACAAAGCAAGATTGGTAGCACAAGGATATACACAAGTTGGAGGTCTTGACTTTGGACAAACATATGCCCCAGTTGCTAGATTGGAAGCAATTAGAATCTTGCTAGCCTATGCTTGTGCCCACAACATCAAACTCTATTAAATGGATGTTAAGAGTGCATTTCTCAATAGTTACATCAATGAAGAAGTATATGTTGAGCAACCTCCTGGTTTTGAAGATGACAAAAAGCCCGACCATGTGTACAAGTTGAAGAAGGCATTGTATGGTTTGAAGCAAGCACCTAGAGCATGTTATGAGAGATTGAGGGACTTTCTACTCTCTAAAGGGTTCATGATGGGCAAGGTTGACACCACTCTTTTTATCAAGAAGATTGAAAAAAATTTATTTGTATTGCAAATCTATGTTGATGACATCATATTTGGATCAACCAATCAAGATTTTTGTGATGAGTTTGGAAAGATAATGGCTAATGAGTTTGAGATGTCCATGATTGGAGAGTTGAGTTACTTTCTTGGTCTTCAAATCAAGCAATTGAAGAATGATACATTTGTGAGTCAAGGCAAGTATATCAAGGACATGATCAAGAAGTTTGGCATGAGTGATAGTAAAGTTATTAGTACACCAATGGGAACAAACGGCAACTTGGATAGTGATACAAGTGGAAATATGGTGGATCAAAAATTGTATCGGTCTATGATTGGAAGCCTACTCTATGTGACCGCATTAAGGCTGGATGTCATGTTTAGTGTATGCATGTGTGGAAGATTTCAAGCCTCACCAAGAGAAAGTCATTTGAAGGCTACAAAGAGAGTATTGAGATACTTGAAGCATACACAAAATGTTGGTTTGTGGTATCCCAAAAAGTAAAGTTTGAGCTAGTTGGTTACTCCGACTCGGATTATCACGGGATGCAAGGTTGAAAGGAAGAGCACTTCAGGCACATGTCAATTGTTGGGAAGATCACTTGTTTCATGGTCATCAAAGAAGCAAAATAGTGTTGCATTATCAACCGCCGAAGCCGAATACATATCCGTTGGTAGTTGTTGTACACAAATACTTTGAATGAAGACCACTTTGAGTGACTTTGGAATCAATTTCAAGAAAGTGCCATTGCTATGTGACAATGAGAGTGCAATCAAGTTAACCAACAATCCGGTTCAACATGCAAGAACAAAGCACATTGATGTCCGCCACCATTTCATAAGAGATCACCAACAAAAAGGGGGACATCTACATTAAGAGTGTAGGCACCGAAGATCAACTTGCCGATATATTCACCAAGCCATTAGATGAGAAAATGTTTTATAAACTAAGGAATGAGTTGAACATATTGGATTTCTCAAATATGTGTTGATGCACCCCCCCACTTATATGACATGCCTCTCCTTCGAGCAATCCAAGGTAAAAATTGATTGGCATGGCATACATTCTTGCTAGGGACTTGTTTAGTGCATCTAGACATCTTTCACATTTAGTAGGCTCATTCATGAAAATCAAATGAATTTGATGATTATATGGTATCATTATTGCTTCTATGCTTATTTTGATCTAGTGGTAGCATATGACATGTTTGTGGGCTTGCAAACATAGTGTTTGATCTAGAAAATGAGCTCTAAGTGTTTAACTCAATATGGTACAAGATAACCCCTATTTGGAGGTGTGAAGAAGCTTGTCATTGGATCAAACCGAGTTAAATATCTTTGGCAAATCATCTAGATTGGACCAAATTTGAGAATATGATCCCCACCCCATTGATTGACATTGATAATCATAACCTATCTATAATTTAAGTCTTTGTGGTCATTGATGATAAAGGGAGAGAGATATGACAAAGGAAAGAGATCAATTAAAATTTTGAGCACACAAGTAGGGGGAGCAAGCTCATGAACTTATATGATGTATTTGAATGTGCATTTCATATGTTTGCTTGCATGTCACAAGTTTTAAATTTCAATATCCATGCTTGTGTGGTGTATGCTAGTTGTAGGTTTGAATGATGAAATAAAAATCTAGCATGCATAAGTTTATCTAGTGATTTCATTTCCAAGTGTTTCCAAGTGGTATCCAGCTAACCATGGTGCTAAGGATGTAATAATGGTGCACTCCGTTTGGTATCACGCTTCAAAGGTCCATCTTTTATACCTTAGCATCATTTGGTAGACATTGTCTCCTATATTTCCTATCTAAGCATATGTGCAAGCTACAATCCAAACTCTTAGCACATATGTAGGGGGAGCAATTGCTACCATTTGGGGTTCATGAAACTTGTCCATATCTTTTAAAAGATAGTAAATATGCTTGGACAAGCAATATGGATTTAATTGAATTTTAATTCATATCTTTGTGAAAGGGTTGTCATCAATTACCAAAAAATGGGAGATTGAAAGCTCTAATTTGGTTTTGGTGAATTGATGAAACCCTAAGTGCTAACCTAGTTTATCAAGTGATCCTAAAATAGGTAGCACATTCCAAGTGGTGAAGCAAATGAAGATCATGACATGATGATGGTGATGCCATGGTGATGATCAAGTGCTTTGACTTGAAAAGAAGAAAGAGAAAAATAAAAGGCTCAGGGCAAATGTATAAATGGTAGAAACCATTTTGTTTTGGTGATCGAGACACTTAGTGAGTGTGATCACATTTAGAATCGATAGCCGTACTATTAAGAGGGGTGAAACTCGTATCGGAATACGGTTATCAAAGTATCGCTAGATGCTCTAACGCATTGCATACGCATTTAAGATCTAGTGGAGTGCTAACACCCTTGAAAATATTTGTGAAAATATGCTAACACATGTGTACAAGGTGATACACTTGGTGGTTGACACATTTGAGCAAGGGTGGAGAAGTTAGTGAAATAAAGGAGGTGCTAGTCATTGAGAAAGCGATGGACCGGACCTTTGGTCACATCGTGATCGGACGCTGGGTTCAGCGTCCGGTCGATGCTTGTGGGGCGCATGATTTCGGTCTCACGACCGGAATGGCGCAGAAACCGACCGGGACTTTCGAGTCTGAGTCGGTCGGTCGACATTGAGTGACCGGATCTTTGGGTGTGTCCGATCGAGCATGACCGGACACATCCGATCGTGAAAAGTCGTCTCTGAATGCTTATTGAAACGGCCGGACGCTGAGGCTCAGTGTCCGGTCACTTGACCGTGGAGATCGGGCGATCAGCGTTTGAAGAGATGGGACACGTGGCGTGCATCGCATGACCAGACGCTGAGGTCCAGCGTCCGGTCAATCTGACCGGTGCGTCCGATCGGCCCGTGTTCAGTGCACTTTGAATACATTTAAAATTCATAGAGGTGCTTCTATGAAAAAAGAGCATTGTAGCATGTCATCAACAATTTAAAAATCCACTTTTTTTGCATTACATTGACACTATTTAACTTCCGTCCTCAGTGGCTACATACCTCCTGAATATGCTTTTGATGGGGTTTGCTCCGTCAAATCAGATGTTTTTAGCTACGGGTATTGACATTGGAAATAGTAAGCTCAAAGAGACGGCCCAATTCTATGAGTACAATGGAAAGCTATATAATCTCATCTCATATGTGAGTGTCATTAACCTTAATGAACCCAGAACTTTATCTGTGCATGCCCATTTCCTTATAAAATGGGCATGCACATAAACAAATAAGATAGGTTACTTACTAATATTTCTATCAAAGCATTTGCATTCTGACTACCCATTATTATACTAGTTCTGTTACTTACTAATATTTCTATCAAAGCATTTGCATTCTGACTACCCACATTCTCTCCTTTTCTAGTGGATACATGGCTCCTGAATATGTATCTGATGGCCTTCTCTCGATCAAGTCAGATGTTTTCAGTTTCGGGGTCCTGCTTCTTGAGATTATAAGTGGAAAGAGGAGCTCAGGTTTTCAGCACAATGGAGAGTTTTACAACCTTCTTGAATACGTAAGCAGCCAAGGACTAACAATCTGTAAAATTGGTGGAACAGATATGCTTTCCCTTATAACAAGATTGCATTATACTAACAGATCAGTTACTATTAATGGTGTATTTTTATGGTCTTCTACATTATTTCTTTCCACGAAGTATAGGGCTCAAAGTACAGGGCGGTTTCCTTTACCTCATCCATGTTTTATTGCTATTGTCTAGCATTTGTAGCTACATCTAACAGCTAAAGATATACCATCATACACATGTAAAAAAATCATTTTTCTTTTCAGGCCTGGGAACTGTGGAAAGATAGGAGATCGAATGAGTTCATTGATCAATCATTTGGTGATGACGATGAAATGGAAGAGCTGATGAAATACCTTGCTGTGGCATTGCTGTGTGTTCAAGAAAAAACAATAGATCGTCCCACAATGCCTGATGTTGTTGCAATTCTTAGCAGTGATGGCATCACTTTGCCAGAACCAAAGTAGCCAGCTTACTCCTATGCAAAATTAGATGTGTCAGTAAATGTCGCTGTATTGAGTAGCAGAAATGATGTAACCATCACTACTACAAATGGCAGATAATAGAATGTGAATATACTGTTAATAAAGTGTGAGCTACAGGTCTTGGTCATCCTTCTTGTGTTAATTAATTGTAAGTCATTGTGTTCTGCGGTTTCTCACCAGTATCTCACCAGTAAACCTGTGTTAGGCTGCTTTGACTATTGGTTTTACATATTTAACAAGATTTTCCTTATTATTCTATATAAACTGAGACAGCACTAATTTATATTTCAGTCCCAAAGTGTCTACCGCTGGGCATTCGTTAAAACATCAGCATGAGAATTTAGAAGACATGTTCTGGTGTGATAGTGAATCACATTCCCCCCAATAATAGACAACATTCGTTAGATATACACCCCCACAATAGATATCATTTGTTTGGAAATATCATAAATCTAATCATGACTGTTTTTAGTCTTTCTTTATTTTTTCACAGTCTAAGACATCAGCATGAGAATTTAGAAGACGTAATACGTATTTAAGAAGTACAACAGCATGTGGAATGTAGACAAGTCCACTGCTCACAAGCGAACAAAGTAAACTTCACATCAGGTGGAAGAATCCACAAGAGGCAGCTCTCTGGACCAGTCTTCCATGGAAAATATGGTCATGTCACCATCTTTCAATTTCTGTTCAAAGAACGAGTCTTACCAATCATTTTCCACTAACAGATTGAATGGAATCTAAGCTTGGCCATTGAATTCCTTTACCTCTTTGAAGATGAAGCGAATATTGCATTTGGCACTCATCTGTGACCAAAGGCCATGGCGCTCTAGTTACCAGTCATTATAAAACTGTTATCTCTCCTATTTGTCTTCCTCTCCTGCCCAGCACCATTGGTTGGCCAGACCTTCTGCAGTGATTATAATGGTGCCAGGTACACGCCAAACAACACCTACAAATCTAACCTAATCTCCCTCACTAGAACACAGTTCACCCGTGCAGTAAAGGTGCACTCAGCTACAGGAATGGTGTTGTTAATCTGGCTAGCTCTTGCTGCTTTGCCCTCCATGCGTTATGAGCAGACAGTGCTATGTTCTTTTGGCCATGTCTCCCCTGTCTAGTGACAGGAGCATGCTTGTATGGCCTAGCAGTAGCTGTAGATGGTATGGCCTGTTGGTTACAGGATCACCGGCTCGGTGAGTGAACTACTCATCAGTCTTGCCGAGCACCGCTAGTGTTGCCGAGCACCCACTAGCTGTGCCGACCACAAACAAGCGTTGTCCGTCCCCCATACACTATGGCTAGAGCTAGAAGAAGAAGGGAGAACAAAGCATGCACGCACAATACAAGACACCAGCGTCGGCCGAAGCCCTGTCTGTGAGATGACAAATCTGAGCTCCCTTCTTCTTCTAGCTCTAGCCATAGTGTGTGGGGACGGACAACGCTTGTTCGTGGTCGGCACGGCTAGTGGATGCTCGGTAACACTAGCGGGTGCTCGGCAAGACTGGTGGGTGGTTCACTCACATGAGCCGGTGATCCTGTGGGCCAACAAATGGTATCGGAGTCGTACAAGCGCCATCGCCAGACTAACCGCTGGCGATGACGGACGGTTCGAAGTGGGCGGCAGCGATGGCACTATTGTGTCCATCCAGCCACAAAGCGGAGGTCGTTGTTTGCATAGTGCGGGAGGTCGGCGGCACCGGTTGGCGGCAATGACCCGCATCAACTATGAAGAGTGGTCGGTGACCATGAAGGTCAAGCTCAGAGCCCGACGGCTCTGGAATGCTATTGACAAGGGCATCGAAAATGAAGAAGATGACATGCCAGCACTGGAGGCTATCCTCGCTGCTGTACCGGCGGAGTACAGGGAGCCGTTGGGGACGAAGAGCTCGGCTAAGGAGGCGTGGGAGGCTATTGCGGCGATGTGCGTCGGTTACGATCGCACAAAGAAAGCGACGACCCAGCTTCTAAAAGCGAGTACGCCAACCTCAAGTTCAAGGATGGTGAAATGGTGGAGGACTTCTCCTCCACTGCAGACGCTCATCGGCAAAATTTGAAGAGCCCGCAGGCGTCACCATCGGCGAGAGGAGGCGGTCTTCAAGTACCTCCCACTCCGTCTGAAGCAAAGTACATCTAGATCGCTCTCTCCATAGAGACGCGATGTTGGACTTATCCACCCTCACGATTGAGGATGTGACAGGCCATCTGCGAGCAAGGCGATGGACGGCGCCTAGAGCGGCGGCGAAAGAACGAAGGACAACGGAAACTCCTGGCGACGAAAGAGGTGGGCTGCTCGGAGGAACTCCGAGAAGGCAGCCTCCTCCAACCCCGCGTGATGGCGAGGGGCAAGCGCCATAACAGGGCTTCTTCGGAGAAAAGCGAAGTCGACTAACGCTTTGCGGCGTTGCGGGAAGATGGGCCATTGGGCACGAGAGTGCCCAAACCGCAAGCAGGAAAAGAAGGCTCAGGCTCATTTAGCGCAAGCCGATGATGAGGATGAGGCCACTATCCTGATGGCGACGTTCTGTGCACTGCACGACGTCGAGGCTGAGGAGAGGGAAGAGGTGATGATGGTGGAAGGACCTGGGAAGGCCCTGAAGACTGTCAACCTTGATGAACCACGTGCCCAAGTTCACCTCGGATGTGTGGGCGCTGACCAGGAGTAGCGGTGGTATCTGGACTTTGGTGCCAGTAACCACATGATGGGCTCCAAGGCATCCTTCTTTGAGCTCGACGATGATGTTACCGGTACGATGAAGTTTGGTGACGGCTCAAGAGTGGCTATCCAAGGGCGCGACACCATTATCTTCATATGCCAGAATGGGGAGCACCGCGTGTTAACAGATGTATATTACATCCGCAATCTGCGTTCAAAGCATCATCGGCCTTTGGTCACTAGATGGCCTGAGTGGCGAGTCTCGATCAAGGATGGTGTCCTTAGGATCGAGGATTGGGAGCGGTGACTTTCGCCAAGGTGAAGAGGTCACGAACCGGTTGTACCTTTCGACACTGAAGGTGGAGCAACCCGGTGTTCTGGCGGCAAGGCACTCCGAGGAACCGTGGATGTGGCATGCCCGGTTCGGACATCTCAGCTTCGACGTGCTTAGTTGGCAGGAAAAGATGGTCCGAGGGCTACCCCACATCAAGCACAAAGGCGAGCTATGCGATAGCTGCCTGGCCGGGAAGTAGAGGAGGCTACCTTTTCCAAAGGCAGCCAAGTATCGCGCGAAGGACGCTCTCGAGCTCGTTCACGGCGACCTCTGCGGGCCGATCACGCCTGCTACAAACGGTGGTCGGTGGTACTTCCTCCTGCTTGTGGATGATTACAGTCGCTACATGTGGCTACAACTCCTGACAAGCAAGGACGAAGCAGCGGCAGCGATCAAGAAGTTCAAGACGCGCGCGGAGGCCGAGAGCGACAAGAAGCTCCGTGTGCTGAGAACTGATCGCGGTGACGAATTCACTTCGGTGGAGTTCACTGCGTACTGCACGGATCAGGGTGTGAGGCAACACCACACCGCGCCATACTCGCCACAACAGAATGGCATGGTGGAGAGGCGGAACCAGACGGTGGTCGGCATGGCCCGATCCATGATGAAGGCCAAAGGCATGCCAGCAAGGTTCTAGGGTGAGGCAGTGACCACGGCGGTGTTCATCCTCAACCGATCTCCAACCAAGGCCCTGACGGGCAAGATGTCGTTCGAAGCTTGGTATGGGCGCAAGCCGAGCGTGTCCTTCCTCCAGACATTCGGCTGCATCGGCCACGTTAGGAAGACGAAGCCGAACCTCACCAAGCTGGAGGACAGGAGCACACCCATGGTGTTCCTGGGCTACATGGAGGGTACCAAGGTGTACCGACTCTACGACCCACGCAGAGACAAGGTGCTTGTCTCGCGTGATGTCGTGTTCAACAAGGAGGTGGCTTGGGACTGGAGCAGTCCGAGCACGGGGGAAGCTGGCAGCTTCACCAACACCTTCGTCATCGAGCACTTGGTCATCCACGGTGGTGGAGACACTGGGGAAGAGGTGCCGAGCACTCCAGGAGGAGTGCCGAGCACTCCGGCGGTAGAGCCGAGCACTCCTGGGGCAGTGCCGAGCACTTCGAGAGGGATGCCGAGCACTCCAGGAGGAGTACCGAGCACTTTTAGAGGGATGTCGAGCACACCAGGAGTGGTGCCAGGAGGTTCTGCGGTGGCGGTGACCACTTCAGGACGGGTGCCGAGCACTCCCATGGTAGAGCCAAGACATCTTGTAGTGGTGCCGACCACTCCAAGACTGAGGATAGCACTCCTACAGTCGTGCCGAGCACTGCAGGAGTTGAGACGAGCTGTCCAAGTGCTCCGCCGAGCACTCAGGCGGAATAGCGAACTCCATCAACGCCGATCGAGTTCGCCTCACCTCCAAGTGACATCACTGAGTTCGTGGACGCCTACCACGAAGGTGAGGAGGTGCGGTTCTGTAGGCTGGATGACATCATCGATGGCATAGGTCCCTCAGGCTTGGCGGGTAGGCTACTCAACAACCCAGAGCTGCTACTCGTCAGTGCTGAGGAACCACCCATGTTCACGCTAGCCGAGCGCGATGGAAACTGGCGACGGGCGATGCTGGAGGAGATGAAGGCGATCAAGGAAAACGAGACGTGGCAGCTCGTCGATCCACCTCCAGGATGTCGTCTGATCAGCCTGAAGTGGGTGTACAAGGTCAAGCAGGACGAGCATAGCGCCGTTGTCAAGCACAAGGCATGCCTTGTGGCCCAAGGCTTTGTACAACGCGAGGGCATCGATTTTGAGGAAGTCTTTGCGCCAGTAGCACGCATGGAGTCGGTCCGGCTGCTACTTGCTTTGGCAGCAGCAAAAGACTGGTGCGTCCATTACTTGGACGTTAAATCGGCCTTCCTCAATGGTGAGCTGGCAGAAATGGTCTTCGTCAGGCAACCTCCAGGCTTCACCATCAAGGGAGAGGAGCATAGGGTGCTCCGACTA